TCTGTTTTTAAGTTGATGACATCTTAGAAATACATTCAAGAGCCAAAACATTATGACCACCTGTCAATAACGAGTTGGCCCACCTTTGGTGCACAACACAGCTTTAACCCGCCTTGGCATGGATTAATACCACCACTTAATACCAGTTAAATACCATTTCACCTGATCACATGCCTTCCACGTCATCCAGGGGAGTTCATTGCAAAATGTAAGGGTGGTCATAACGTTTTGGCTCTTGAGTGTAGATGCCAGAAGAGTCTCTGAATAGCAAGTTGGGATCCGAAATTAAGAGAGTTTGAAATTCGGAAATCAACAAGAAAAGCATGTTACATCTGCAAAATTGGATTCCAACCAAGGTCCTAAAAGAATCCTACTAAGATCGAACATCGCTAAGCATTATCCAATCAGCCAGAATCTTGACATTATTTCCATTCAGGCTTATGAATTGAACTTAAGGTGGAATTTCCTGTGGTGGAGGAAGAGGATTGAAAATGGACTCTTCCCCTTTCCAGATGCCTCTTTCAGGTGATAATATGTGAGAGCAATGTATCATGCACACTTAGTAATACTGAATTTAATACAAATATGTTAATATAGATGTTCACAAACTCAGGTCAAAAACTCTATACCGTGTAAATAAAACTTTTGTTCATATTTTTAATATATGACTAATATTTATAGTCCAAATGGCTTTATACTACTGTTCCCAAAAAGTAAAATCAATTTTCGATTTAAATTTCCCTGCCAAATGGAATTTCAATTTCCCCCCTTTTTTTAGGTTACTGGCACTGTCCTTGACATCTGTGTGAAATTTGACGTCAAAATATTCAATAGTGCTTGAGTTACGCTTGGTTTTGTGAGACGCTTAAAGTAATTCCGGCGATTTTTGAAATGTCTGAATTAATTGAGCAAAGAATTTGCATTCACTTTTGTTTGCGGAAAGGTATAGAATGTTGCAGAAGACATTAGGTGAGTATTCCTATATCGGAAAGAAATGTTTAGAAGTGGTAAAAATAGTTCAAATAATACAGAGAACGCATTGAAGACGAAGAGTGGAGAGCGTTCTGGTCAACCCTCAACCTCAACTGACGAAGCTCAAGTATAAAAAAAATAAAGATTTTGTACTTGCAAACCGTCGATTTACAATTAGATACCTTGCTAATGATGTTGGAAGTTCAAAAGGAACGGTCAATTCAATTTTAAAAGATGCTTTGGGCTCGATTGGTAAAGAAAACATTGATTTTTTTGGAAAAACATCGTCGAGTTGAAGTGTGTGAAACAATGTTTTCTGAATATCAGGACAGGTTGAAATGCAACATAACTGGAGATACTTGGATTTATTTTTACGACCCGGAAACAATCGATCAATCGAAAGATTATCGTGACAAAGGTGAAGCAAAACCGAAAAGAGCACGTACATGTTGAATACATGTTGACTTTCTTCGATTACTGTGGTGTGGTGCATTATGAATTACAAACTGTAAACAAGGAATATTATTTGAGTGTTATACGTCGTTTGCGTGAAGCTATTCACAAAAAGAGGCCACATTTATGGAAAGACAAATCTTGGTTTTTGCATCACGATTATGTACCAGCTCACACTGCATTGACTTTTTCGGCAAAAATGAAACGCCCATATAGTGCCTCAACCACCGTATTTCCCTGATTTAGCATCGTGCGACTGCTGGCTATTCCCTCAAATTTAAAAGACCACTCCGGGGACACCATTTTGAATCGATTGAAGAGATTGAACTTGAATCGGCGCAAGCTTTGAAGCCATGCGACCAATGACTCTTTACCATGCATTGAAGATTGGAAAAATGCGTTTGCATAAGTGCATTGTGTCCAGAAGGGATTACTTTGAAGGCGATGAAATAAATTTGAAAGAATAAATAAAGAGTTTTTTAAAAAAATAATAATTGATCACAGTAGTAAATGGGTTTGAGGCAGTTTTTTGGGCACAGTACTAACTGGGTATTTCCTTCTTTCCTTCTTTTTTTTCAATTCCTTCTATTAGCTCACACACTCCCTTATATATATCTTGTTCAAATTTTCAATCGTTCATAAATTACTTTTTATTCATCCACTCAAGTTAAAATACATTTTTTTGAACTTGTAGTGGATGTAGTGGATAGTACACTTGATGTCAATAAAGTTTTTTCAAATATTAATTCAGTAATTAAATTTAATTATTTAATTTTAGTTTTTTTTAGATTTAAATTGCATATATCTATCAATAGATGTCACCAGATAAACTTAAAAAAATGAATGAAAATTATTTATAAAGGATTTTTCTGCAATAGAATGAAAAAAAAAGTAGGAAAAGACTTTAAAAAAAATTTTTTTATATTACTTGTTTCAAAGAAAATTCAATTATCTGGAATATATATTGCCACGCAAAGAAAGATGTACAATTCTAAAGAGGTTATATTTTTATGTGTAGATGATATTTGAAAAAAATAAAATGATTTAAAAAAATCGAATATTTTCATTTTTATGTGTAAATATTCATCCAAAATTTGAGTGGAGAAGCAAACGATTTTAATTGCTATTTAAATGTTCTTAGAATTTCAAAAAGGAAAAATCGTCTGCGTGCATCCGTATGAATATTTAATCGTAAGAGGTCCGGGGGAATTCGGGGAATTCTTAACATGTGTTCGAACTGCATGTTCAATTTCCGAATCGGGAACATGGGTAATAATTTAATGGTTAAATATTTGAATCACGTTTTTTAAGATCTCTCATTTGCATAAAATATTCCTTCCATTCGGCCAGGGTTGTGATTCTCGAGGGTTGTGATTTCATCTTGTTCCTTTTTCCATGTTATAAATCTTTTACAACTTAATTTATTCTGTAAAGTTAGTTTTGCCGTTTGGTCGGAAGATTTTTTAAAAAGGTATTCCACTAGATATGGTTTGTTTGAGGCGTTGTTGAGGTTGATTAGTTATGAATAAAACATTTATTCTAGAGAAACGAAAATCATGTTTAATCGCATAATTACATTAAAAATAATAATTACATTTTTTTATTATAAGGAGTTATTAAATTTTAGGTTCAAATATACTACTGTGTTCAAAACGTAAGACCAATTTTCAATTTAAAATTCCTGGGGCTTATGGAATTTCAATTTTTGTTTTATTTTTTAGGTTGCTGGCACTGTCCTTGATATCTGTGTGAAATTTGACGTCAAAATATTTATTAGTGTTCGAGTTACGCTTGGCTTTGTAAAAACGCTAAATATGATTACTGCGATTTTGATTTGTGATTTTTTTTTAATTGAACAAAGAACTTGCATTAAATTTTTTTTGCAGAAACGTATAGAATGTTGCAGAAGGCATTTGTTGAAAATTTCTATATCGGAAAGAAATGTTTAGAAGTGGTATAAACAGTTCAAAGAAGGCAGAGAATGCGTTGAAGACGAAGAGCCCTCTGGTCGTCCAAATAATTAAAGATTTGGTGCTTGCAAACCGTCGATTTACAATTAGAGACCTTGCTGATGATGTTGGAATTTCAAAAGGATAGGCAAATTCCATATTGGGATTCAAATGGAATTCGGCCCAAAATGGAATTGGCCGATCAAAAGACTGAATATGCCAGCTCACACTGCATTGATTCTTCCTGACGTTTTCGCCAAAAATGAAACCCAGTTCCTCCCACAACGAAAATTAGTTTTATTCAATAAATATTGCACAAATCTAATTTTTAAAAAAAATATTGGATTTTCTTTATCTGTAATATTAGTGTGTATAAAATCTTTTAATGATTTATTAATATTATTTAACGTGTTTTATTGTTGCTGTTTCTTATCCCACTTGGCTGACCAAGCACACGAGCCCATACGTGCTCATGATTGAAGGGGAAGGAAGCAGCTTCTGTTGTGATGGAGCACCCGTAGGTAGAAGTCTCACTTTGGCTCCGTGACGCTCTTACAGTCACAGGAGACCGGGACCTACGGCTTAAAGTGGATTCCGAACCACTAAAAACATCCATGGCATCCCCGGGATTCGAACCCGAAACCTGTGGCACCGAGCGCCAGAGCGCTAGACACTCGGCCATTCAGGTCCCAAATTTGTGAATGCCAAAGGCACGCGGTGTTCCCATGTGGTCACCCGCCCAAGTACTGACCGCGCCCAATGATGCTTGACTTCGGTGATCTAACGAGAACCGGTACATTCAGCATGGTATGGCCATTGGCCTGTGTTTTATATAACTATTAATAATATTTTTTTTATATATTTTATATAAACTTTAATAATATTTAATATATTTTATATAAACTTTAATAATATTTCAGACATTTTATATAATTTATGAATAATAAATGTAAATATTTTAATCATTGTTTTATCCAAGAACAAAATAAATAAATGTAATTTACCCCAATAATAATTTCATGCAAATAATATTTTCATCTTCATTTCATAGCGGCTTGATGGCCGAATGGTTAGCGCTCTGGCTCTCGGTACCATAGGTATCGGGTTCAAATCCCGGTTTGACCATGGATGTTTGTAGTGGTTCGGAATCCACTTTAAGCCGTAGGTCCCGGTCCTAATGCGATCGCAAAGCGTTGCGGAGGCAGTGTTACTCCGCGTCCGTGGCTTATCCTCAAGCTACACGCGCCCCCTGGGTAATGCAAAGTGAGTACATCTGTGCAGTGCTTGCCTTAAGGCATCCAAGACCAAGCTGTCTAAGTGTTTGCCAGCTGCATTAGAACGAAAAAAAAAGTCTCCATTTCATTTTATATAACTTTTAGTAACAGTTCAATATACTGCATCACTTATAAACAATAATTAACCATTATGTAAATATTTTAATAAAAAAAACAAGCAAAATAAATAATTAAACAAAAAATATCATCATTTGAAGTTATTGAAATGAAATGAAAAATTGTGATGCATTCAGAGCATACAAGTCTCTTAAATTTTTCATAAACGTCTTATTCAATTTTATAGTAAAATCTTCGTGAATATTTGAATTCCATTTTTAGATTTATTATGCCAACGGCCATACCATGCTGAATATACCGGTTCTCGTTAGATCACCGAAGTCAAGCGGTCAGTACTTGGGTGAGTGACCACCCGGGAACACCGCGTGCCGTTGGCATTCACAAATTTGGGACCTGAATGGCCGAGTGTCTGGCGCTCTGGCGCTCGGTGCCACAGGTTTCGGGTTCGAATCCCGGTGATGCCACGGATGTTTGTAGTGGTTCGGAATCCACTTTAAGCCGTAGGTCCCGGTCTCCTATGACTGTAAGAGCGTCACGGAGCCAAAGTCAGACTTCTACCTACGGGTGCTCCATCACAACAGAAGCTGCTTCCTTCCCCTTCAATCATGAGTCCATATGGGCTCGTGGGCTTGGCCAGCCAAGTGGGATAAGAAACAACAACAACAGATTTATTATTACGCGATCATATGTTGCAATTTTTATTGAACTACGTTTTTATGTAGAACAAGTTTTGAATAATAACGACTGATTTATGTTTAATTTTATGGATATTTCAGTTAGAAGAAATTTTAATTAGAATGTAATTATAAAAGTATACAATGTGTTAATCTCTGAAATGGTTAATCGACTTAGCATTGATTTCCACAAGTGTTGCTAATGAGCAAGTTTCTCGCTTGCATTTAAACTACGAATAAATGTTTTAATTAATGGTTTTGAGTAAGTAATTCGTTGCATTTTAACTAAATCATCTCAATTGTGCGCTTTACTGAAACAATGAAATTATACTTCATTTTCTTTGAATTTACAGGAATTATTTTATCCCAATGCAATTTGCGATGAATATTTTATTCATTATTTTTAAAAATCGAATTAATAAATATAATTTTTATTTTATAGAATATTATTTGCGTGCTGCACATAATAATGACTATGTATGTGATACCTTTACAATAAGTTGATTTTACTGTTGGACTCTAGAACCGCTATGCAAGCTTTCGGGTCATGTGAATCACCCTTCTCTAAGAGTATCTATATATATACATATATACATACATACATATATAATATCTTAGATTATGGAGATCCTCTTGAAACATTGACGGTAGAGAGGCGACACATCGTCCTTCATTGGATCCATGGACACTGTGACATTTTAGGTAATGATCAGACTGATTTTCTTGCTACGAATAGAAACACGGATATTCCAACAGACAAATACTTGCAACTCTTTTCATTCCATGAAACTTTATATCAAAAATCAAATGAGACTTAGATGGAAGACATTATTCACTGCTCGTATCTCCTCGAGGAGTTGGAGGAACATTTTCGAACAGGGTATTTGGGACAAACCTGGTGAAGAAGCTGTCGCAGAATTTAAACTTGCGATGAGCGATCTTGTTTGGCGAGCCATTTACACCACATTGGCATATTTGATAGCCCAAATTGCCAGCTCTGTGGGAAGGACGAGATCGTGGACAGGCACCATGTAGCAAGATGCCTTGCACTGCGTGGGGACTTCGAGGTGAAAAGATATTGGACTGCTAGAACTTTGCTGATGAGCCACTGACATTTTCTCCTATTGTTTTCTTTTATCGTGTGCTTTAAATTGTTTTTTTTTTATCTAATAAGAGTTTGTTCTTTTTTCCTTACCATTAGAAATTTTAAAAAAATCGTCTCTAATTATTTCATCAACTTTCTGCATCAGGTAAACATCAATGACAGACGGTCACCCACAACATTTATTGTTCATATGTAACTGATCACATTTCAACGTTCTGCAGTATCTTCTTACTATACTATCGCTCATATTTTCTCCATACACTTCCTTAATCTACGGGTGAATTTCAAACGCTTTCAGTTTTCTTACGTAGTTCATATTTTGAAGTTGACGAGATTTTCAATCGTCCGATGAATTTTAATTACTCATAACTAAACGTACTATGTCAAGATGTCCTGCATCACTGGAAATCTTTCCTGTCATGAGTCCTGAACGAAGGGCATAAATTCCATATATGGACGACACAATTCTAGAACTAGTACGAGATAACCCAAGTTTTAGCACAAGAACTGTAGCGTACCATACTGGAATGTCCTGCTACAGCATTTGGAGATTTCATTCAGCAGCCGTCACGAGTCCTGAACGAAAAGTATTAACTCCGTATATGGACGAGACTGTGCTAGACCTGATACGGGATAATCCAAGTTTTAGACCTATACACTGAAGTGACAAAAGTCATGGGATAGCAATATGCAAATTTTCAGATGGCAGTAGCATCGCGTAGAACAGGTATAAATGCTCAGTGCTTTCGCAGAGCTTTCATTTCTGTTCGCTTATTCATGTGTAGAGGTTTTGACGTGATGATGACCGCACGACGGGAATTAACAGACTTTGAACGCGGAATGTTAGTTGGAGCTAGACGCATGGGTCATGCCATTTCGGAAATCGTTAGGGAATTCAACATTCCCAGATCCACTGTGTCAAGAGTGTGAAATTTCAGGCATAACATCCCACCATGGACAGCGCAGTGGTCGACCATCTGCACTTAACGACCGAGACCGGCGACGTCTACAAAGAGTCGTAACACTGCGTCAAATAACCGCAGAAATCAATGTGGGACGTACAAGGGACTTGTCTGTTAGAACTGTGCAGAGAAATTTGGCTTTCTTGGGCTATTCCAGCAGAAGACCGACTCGAGTGCCTTTACTGACAGAACGACATCGCTGGCAACGACTCTCGTGGGCACGTGAGCATATCGGTTGGTCCCTAGATGAATGGAAAACCGTGGCCTGGTCCGATGAGTCACGATTTCAGTTGGTAAGAGCTGATGGTAGGGTTCGAGTGTGGCGCAGACCCCACGAAGCCGTGGACCCAAACTGTCAGCAAGGCACTGTTCAAGCTGGTGGTGGCTCCGTAATGGTGTGGGCTGTTTTTTCATGGCATGGACTTGGTCCTCTGGTGCGACTGGACCGAACATTGATTGGAAATGCTTATGTTCAGCTACTTGGAGATCACTTGCAGCCATTCATGGACTTCATGTACCCAAACAACGATGGGATTTTTATGGATGACAATGCGCCATGTCACCGGGCCACAACTGTTCGCGATTGGTTTGAAGAACATTCTGGGCAATTCCGACGAATGATCTGGCCACCTAGATCGCCCGACATGAATCCCATCGAGCATTTATGGGACATCATCGAGAGGTCTGTTCGTGCCCAAAATCCTGCACCATCAACGCTTTCACAATTATGGACGTCTATCGAGACAGCATGGCTCAATATTCCTGCAGAAGACTTCCAACGACTTGTTGAGTCCATGCCACGTCGAGTTGCTGCACTTTGCCGGGCGAAAGGAGGGCCGACACGATGTTAAGAGGTATCCCATGACTTTTGTCACTTCAGTGTATATTACCATGCCATAATGCACTGTAGACTATGGGGGGGTACTTTATGGAAACGGCATGCATCCGTAATTTACCTTCGTTATTGTTGTGCATGCTACTTTTATTCATATAAATGAAATTATAAAACACTTTTTTTTTCTTGGGCTTACTTAACGTCATTTCGGTTGTTTCTATGTACGGTAATTCACAATGCTTTTGAGACCCTGTATTGGTATCTGTTTCTGTATTGTCCTAGCCCTTCTGGGAGTTTATAAATCTAGTGCTGAAAAACAATGTACACGTTTCATGCTTTTATATTTACTTACAAGCTGAACGAACTTTAATCAAAAATAATTGCAGAAAGAACATTTCTATATAATATGCAACCTACATCATTTCCCCATTACCTTGTGTTTTTTTGTGAACCAATTGCAGAAAAATAAAAACACCAGGTCCTAAAATAGATGATATATAAATTTCTATTTGTTTTACAATGGTCTCTTTTCGCAAAATTCCTTGCTTTTACTTTAAACTAATATCTTCCGTGGTATTTCTACTTAGTATAATAAATGGAAAATTGCATTCAACATAAAACAAAAGGAATATTTTTCAGCAAGATTCATAAATTTTTCAAAAACAACCGTTTACCTTAAAAATCAGCTTCTCTTTTGGAAAACTAAAACAAAATACCTTTGAATTTACCTTTAGCATTATCTCAAAAGAAATTTTCATTCTAATTATGTAAACCAAAATACAGAAAGAATTTTTGAAGACTTTACACCCTCATTGCCTAGAAATTCCTGTAGGAATAGGAGTATTTTTTATTATTTCCAGTGGCAAGGCAGTACGAAAATAGGGAAAATACAGAATAAAAAAGAAAATGTTCTAAAGAATTCAACAAAATTGGCTAAAGTCATTGCCTGAGCTCGGTTCATTAGTTCTGCCAAATCCCAAAGAGGGCAATTTGGTTCGTCAAAAATTCCAATGCGATGTAGGTGTTCATTAGATCAGTTCTTTGTTATTGAGAAAAGCATCAGCAATTCGTTGCGATATACGCAGGCCAACTGCATGTTCATGCCGAAAACTGTAGACCCCTTGGTCGTATAGAACGTTGCCCAGGAGGAGGTAGGTCTACATTGCACCACAATAGGAATAATAAAATTCTAATTTTCACCTCTATGCTTCATCCATTCTTCACCCAAGTATGCTCAATAATGGCATGTGCAGCAAGTAGTAATATTAAAATCCTTGAAGTACAACAAAATATAACTATAAGAGAGATTACTGACATCAATTGGTACATGAGGAAATTCAAAAATCAATATTTTTATTATCTCTTAAAAGACTATTGGAAAAAACCCTCAATGAACATCTGGACAACCACTAGAATTTGGTCATCCAAGAAATCTAATCTTATGAACCCCATGCAACTATTGAAAAACCTAGAAAAATTCTCCTCTAATTTCCCATTTACTTTCTTTTTTCAATGATTTTTGTCTTTCAGTTCTGTTCTAATATTTTGTTTTAATTTCTGGGCAATGTTTTTGTTTTTGAAAGTTTTACACCATAGTAGATGTAGCCACTGCTGGTTGCTTGTGATCTCTAATATTCTATCAACGTTATTAATCCACTTTTTTGACAAAGGGTGTTTCAAGATGTTTTTAAACATTGAATTTGAATGCAATATTTTTTTTTAATTTGTTATGGAATTGAAATCAAAAATTAAATTAAATTATGTGGCAAGTGGTTTCAATGGTTTCGTTTTGTTTTT